AGTAAATAAAATCTATGAGCTGTTCTTTCATATACTTTGGATATCTGCCCTTTTGTACTATTTAAAATATATGCTCGATTTGCAAAAGTTGTATGTTTTACAAAGAAGACAACATAATTTTAAATGCCATATTCTTTTTTTTTTTTGGTTTTTCGAGACAGGTTTTCTCTGTGTAGCTTTGCGCCTTTCCTGGATCTCGCTCTGTAGACCAGGCTGGCTTTGAACTCACAAAGATCCGCCTGCCTCTGCCTCCCGAGTGCTGGGATTAAAGGCGCTTAAATGCCATATTCTAAAAATATAATTCAAGCAGAAAACACAGTGTGAACAAACAGGAGAGGGAGAGAAATCAAAGAGTTAACAGCAGTCCTAGAACCCAGAAGGGGATTAATGCAAGGAGCACAATAATAAACCACAATAACCCACTTTGGAGCAAACAGCATCTTAAAAGCTGCAAACCAACTGCAGAAAAAAAAAAAAATCAAATGTGCTCACGCACCATGGTTCTTCAAGCTTGGTACCCTTTGTGAATTATTTTGTGCTACATCTGGCTATTGTAGCACAACAGAAGCGTAGCTGGAAAAGAAGTACCCCTACTGGACTATAAGGCACAACAAACAGAATCAAAAGGTATTCCCTCTCCAGCCAATTGGAGGGAAGAAATTAGTGGTTTGAATGAGAACTACAGTCTGATAAGAACATGCCAGGTGTGCCAAGTCAGGAAACCCAACTAAAACAACTGGCTGTGGACTAAGCGGATTTCAAGGTAAAGTACAAATGTTTCATAGAATGGAAATTCACTCTGAGTAATTGTAATTGTCTTCTCAGAGTACTGAGAACTTGCAAGGAAACCTTTACCTTGTACTGTTATGAAACAGACTATCACAACGGCAGAAATAGATGAGAAAACTTCTATGTAAAAATGAACACCAGTGCTGAAGATTAAAGTTTTACACAAGGTGATCTTGGTAAAAGAAAAAGGAAGCTGAACACTAAGGTTAGAGAGATTGAACCTTTGTCCAAAAAGGGATTCTATCTTGCCTTTCTGGATACAGACGATTGGACAGCTTTAGTTTCTGTCAAAGTACACAAGAAGGGCTGCTCCATTATTAAGAACTTAGCTCTTTTTCCAGATTCAGTGACTGGCCCCTTTTCCATTTGTAATGTTTTATATCTGTAGCTTTCAGGTTCATACTTTCTATTTGGATTTTTTTGTAATTTTTTCACTTTCACAAGATAATCCCATTTGTTGTGAACAGGATTCATATACATGTACTGGAGCATTTTTAGGATAGTTTAAATTTTCTTTAAAAATTTTTCTTTTATTATTTATTAAAAATATTGCTGTATAGTTTTCCCACTTTCTCTCTTCCCTCTAACCCCTTACATGTTTCCCCTGCTTCCTCTCAAATTTATAGGTTTTTAAATTGTCAAGTATGTATATATAAATGAATAAATATGTAAGTACAACTTGCTGAATGTATGAAGTAATGCTTGTATGTATATGCTTTTGGGGCTGAGCACTTGGTACCAGACAATCATTTACGGTGCTCATCCCTGCGGAAGATCAATTCTCTCAATAGGTGTTAGTTATCTATAGCTCTTCATTTAGGAGTGGGGTTCAGTGAGATTCTCCCCATCCACATTGGCATGTTGACTTGTAACATTGTTCAAGTTTTATTTAGGCAGAGATACTGTTGAGATTCCATGAGTGCTTTTCCTGTCATATCTAGCAGACACAATCTTAAAATTCTTAATAGATAATCTCAGCATTTGATTCATTTTTCAATCTATGGTCTGATGACTATTTCTCCCCCCCTTTTCTGTTTAATTAAAAAGGAAGGTTTTAACTTTAACATAGTAAAACTACACATAACAAAACAGTTATCAAGCAAGAATTACAGTTACAATATTTAGTCTATTTATATTTGGCAAATTCAAAGAAAATATTCTATTCATCCTATATTTGAGTCTAAGGTTTCACATCTAACTTATCCTTTATCATAACTAAGAAAAATTATAACTATCTAGTCTTCAACTACATCAAAGACTTCAGACGGATATAATATTACTAAGTAAATAAGAAGTTCATTGTAAGGGCCTTTCAAAAATCTAGAATGACAGAGACAGCTGCCTGCCTGGACAGTCACCCAAAGTTCTTCTGCAATGTTGGGGCATCCATCTTCAGCCCATAGGCCTAGTTGATGACTATTTCTTGGTTCTTAGTATGAAAAGAGATCATACACTCAGCATTTGAGAGTTCATGAGAATACTGTATATTAGTAAATACCTCCAATGTTATGAATGGAACAGCTTGAGGACCACATGGAGATATGTGTTCAATATCTTGCTAGGTACACCAATATCACTCTGGCAAAAGAGAACCACTGATTCATACTGGCAAGTAGAGGTTCACTTCCTTGTTGGACCCAAAAAGTCTTGCCTGGTAAAAGTGGGTGTCACCTTATTTCACTGTTGATCTTAAATAGGGGCAGATGCTGAGACAAAGAATAGGGAAAGAAAACGGGTAAGTGACACTGCATGGTGTCTTCAGCCTTGCTGATATGGCAAAGGAGTGATGACCTGACCTTTAAACTAGGTAAGATAACAATGACTAGCTTCACCTTGCACTGCCTTGTTCAGACATAGTATCTCTGGATGGGTATCTTGGATGGGATGGCTGTGGACAGAAATGGAGGGATGAAGATGGAAGATGAGATCTCTACTTGGCTCTGCTAACCTCTTTAAAGGTTAACTGACTTTTTTGATTGATGTTTAGTGAAAATTAAGTGAAGAGTGCTGAACTGTTTTTCATATTCTTAGGCAACTCTGATCATTTTCTCCCAGATAGACAAAAGGTTTATGTGCGAGAATCCATATAAGCCTTTTGTCTGTGTCTGTTAGTGATTCCAGGTTGAAGGCTTCTTTAACACCCTGTCCAGAACATACTGAAGATTGGAATATATGGAAGATAAGGCAAAACAGGGAATTAATGGCTATGTCACTTCTTAAATCCTTTTGTACTTTGATCATTTGCTCTTCTCTTTCCAATTTTTTGAGGTTTTTCTATTTTTCCATATTTTCTACCAATCTTTAGATTCCTGCTAAAAGGAAGACTTTGGAGGACTGAGGTTACTTCATTTTTGCTGGTTTTAGAAGTGTTTTCAGCAACAATATTTTTGAAAACTGACAAATTTATTGTAATATTGTCTGAAGCAATTAACTCATAAGCAATATATGAACTAAATAATGGTTTTTGATGTTTAAACATTATGAATATATTACACCTGACAAAATTGAGTTAGGTTTCATTAATTGACATCATTTTAAGACTAAAAATATGCAAATAAATATGTGTATTTATTTATACATGGTACATTATAATTAGCATATCAAACTTAAGCTACATCATATACTTTTGATAATTTCAGATTACTTGACACTCAGCTGGGCGGTGGTCGTGCATGACTTTAATCCTAGCACCAAGGAGGCAGAGGCAGGTGGATCTCTGTGAATTCAAGGTCAGCCCTGGCATATAGAAGAAAGTTCCAGTTTCTTACACAGAGAAAGGAAAGCAGTTATCAAAAAAACGAAACAAAACAACAACAACAAAAAGTTTTAAGAGTAATTCCACCAACACATTTGAAAACATTTTTATGCCTCAATGCTCAACTCCATTCAGTTACATGTTATATGCTTTAAGGAACATCCTAATACAACTCATAATTCTAAAATCAGACAAAACAAAATAAAACCTTCACAAAAATTTAAAACCCCTTACAAGAAGAGTCAACTTTTCTGTAAATTAGTTAAATACAAATCTATTGCTTCTAGAGCATATCTGCTCTAGGATATGTCTTTAGCCTATTGCCTAATAGAACTTTACACGTTGATTCTATTTACTAGCATGATCTCAACTAACTGCTGTATGATTACAAATCCTAATGTCAATCATAGGATTCTTCTCTCTGCTTGATCTAGGCAGACTTATCTGATGAATCCTAATATTCTTGAAATTCTTTTTTTCTTTTGACTTTTTGAGATAGGGTTTCTCTGTGTTAATAGTCCTGGCTGTCCTGGAACTCACTTTGAAGACCAGGATGGTCTAAAACTCACAGAGATCCTCCTGCTTCTGCCTCCCGGGTTCTGGGATTAAAGGCCTGCAACCATTACACACAGTTAAATTTGTCTTGTTTTTTCCTTGAGAGACTCAGATCTCGTTATATAGTCTGGTTGCTTAGAATCTGATGAATAGACCATGCTGGTCCCAAACTTGTGATGATCCTTTTGACTCTTGATTGCCAACTGCTGAGATTACAGGCTTGTCTCGATCACCATATCTGTTTTATGTGGTGCTAGAGATTGGATTCAGAGCTTTGTGCATGCTAAGCAAGCACTCTCCAAACCGAGCTACATCCCGGCCCCTCTTTTTCTTTTTAATGCTAGAACAAATGTAAAGGATTATTTCCTGCAGAGAGCATACAGTATGAGAGGTGACATATTGAAACCAATAGTTTCTCACATAATAATGAGTTTAAATTACTTAAAATTAATAAGCAAAATTAAAGAGTAATTACAAATTTTTCAACTTATTGAAGTTGATATTGAAAAATTCAACCAAATTAAGCATTATAGATTGAGATTTTTATATATCAGCTACAAGACTGGTGAAGACTTACAGGGAGAGAAATATTAAAACGATAATCCATTATATATACTAATGCTTACACAAACTATGTCTTATATTTTCAATAAATCACATGGGAAGGTTTTTTAAAATATATTTTACTTAACTTTTTCCCCAGAACTGTATTGAAACAGTAGATAAAATCTGATGGTGATTCTGTAATATGCATGTATTTTTAACTTGAGTAGAGTAACTAGGAGTTTAATAATATCTTAACATACCAATAGATTCAATGACATTTAAGAGGTAACAATTTTCCCCTCTGCTCCTAAAGAAAATGCTAGGCCTCGGTAGGTGTGAAAATTTCATACTATACCTTGATTTCTTCTATTTCATCTGGTACTATCTTGTATGCTGATATAGTCCCACCCAACCTGAAATTAGGAGAAGAAAATATTCTTAAAATCAACAACAGTGTAAAAACATATGAATGATATATGCCATTAGTATTAGAGTGCCACCAGAAATCTCCCAAGACCTACCTCCGTAGCCAAGGGGAAAAACATTTTTGTTGCCTTTTCCCATTTCTTAGTTTAGAAGAGACAGGCAACAAATGACTACCCAAAGAGGAAACATTACATTGGATTTTTATTCTGAATTAAACTTCCATTATTGATGGTTTTAATAATGCTGAAGCTGTCACATTTATTGCTGGATTCTGTCACAACATATATCAAGAACCAAGAGCAAACCTGTTTTTATTTGCTTAATTAAGAAACTTGATTTCTTGAAATAGTGTTTCTGAAAATTGAACACAAAGTGAAGTTAACATATCCTGCTCTAAGCACATTTCCTAGTTTCCCAATAATCATCATATTATACTTGTGTGGTGTAATTGTCACAACTAATAAATCAATATTGATTTTGCTTAACTTTTTTAAAAACAGAGAGTCTAAGAGACGAATGCGCCCAGCACTATCAAAGAGAAAGAGAAAACTAATTGTGAGTTACAGTTTTAGCCCTAATATTTAAATTTAAATAATTTCAAAACAGAAAGCTTTAAAGACATTATCATTATAAAAATAGTTTTTACAGTTTTTTTCTTTTTAACAATTCTTTATACTTAAAGCAGTTAATTAAAATTAACACATGCAACAATTGTTACATAAATGGGATAGAGTACAGAAACAGTTCTAATTTGTTATAAAAAATTCAAAGATGCTATGGTGAAAATGGTTGATAAGGGAAAAAAAATACAAAGTTACAATGCTATGATCAACCTAAATCCTATTTATAGAAACAATTCATTTTTCTCATGATTACTGTTAAAAAGCACCTTAGATACCTCAATCTGCTCCTATAAAGATGGAGGAAGGTAACTTTCCAGTTAAGTATTAATCTAACTTCAAACAAAGGGAATGGTTTTGACCATTAAGAAGGTGAGGCAAGCCAGATATGACATGGCTGTTACAGTTTGGTCTACAGAGTAAGTTCCAGGACACTCAGGACTATTACACAGAGAAACCCTATCTCAAAAAACCAAAAATACCAAAAAAACAAACACACACACACACAAAAAAACGAACAAAACAAACAAAAAAAGAAAGAAAGGAGAATGGAAATAGAGTGCAAATAAATGCTGGAGGAAAATATTCAGTAAATAGATAGAAGCAATTCAGAAAACGCAAGGAAACAACTAAGTAATAAACAACTTATTGGGGGAGGAGGAGTTTAAGAATAAACTTATTTCAAACTATCCTTATTTTCCACCTACTTTCTGAATACAACGGAAAATAGTGGTTTTGACCTCTGAACTAACTTCTGAAATGGTATTTCCATCTCCATGGCATCATTAAACACAGATACATTCTAAATACCCTTAGTTTTAAAATGTTATTAGTATCAGTTTCTTTACCAGGCCTTAGGTCACAAAATGACTTACTCCAGATTTTATTACTTAAATTGTCCATCTTACTGATGAAGAAAGAATAAATGCTGAAATAAGTATATAAAAAGTATTATACATTGATAGTCATACCGATAATAAATAATACCTTCAATATTACAAGTAGTACAGAAGCCTTCCTTATCCAGAGTACATAGGACTACAAGTGTGGTGATATTGTGTTCCCCAAAATATTGTACACCCTAATAAATTTATCTGGGGTCAGAGAAGAGAACAGCCACTAGATACAGAGGCCAGAAAATGGTGGGACTCACACCTTTAATCCTAGCATTCCATCTGGACCTCTGTGAGTTCAAAGTCACACTGGAAACAGCCAGGCATTGTGACTCACGCCTTTAATCCCAGAAGTGATGGCAGAAAGCAGAAAGGTATATAAGGTGTGAGGACCAGGAACTAGGTCGGTTAAGCTTAGGCTTTTGAGCAGCAGTTAAGCTGAGAGACATCCAGTCTGAGGAAACAGGATCAGCTGAGGAATTGGCGAGGTGAGGCTGTGGCTTGTTCTGCTCCTCTGATCTTCCAGCATTCACCCCAATACCTAGCTTCAGGTTTAATTTTATTAATAAGACCTGTTAAAATTCATACTACATACAAGTATTTTATATCTCCTATTTTTGGATTTTGTAATATTCCATATACATAACTTAGAGATGGGACCCAATTCTAAATAACCATTAATACTAAAAGTACTTTTATGTATTTATGATGATGTGTGTCACCATGGACCAAGGGACATAAAGTAGTCAAAAGACAACTTGCCAGGGTCAGTTTTATCCTTCTACTATGCAGGTTCCAAGGTGAAACTTGGATTGTTGGGCTTGGTGGTAGATACCTTTACCTGCTGTGTCATCTAACTGGCCCTGTGTTTTATGCACACACCTCCTGGGTAATTTTTTAACATATCTTTGTTGTGCCTGCAAGAAGTCATGTAGAACTTTCACTTAAGGCATCTTGTTGATGTTCAAAAGATTTCAGATTGTATAGCATATCAGGTCTCAGGATTTCAGATTAGAGATGCTCAACTTGTATTCATTTAATATATGCAAATCATTGTATCAGAGATTAAATTCATTTTATCATTTAATTCTTAGAATTGACAGGAGCTATTATGAAAAGTGTGAAAAATTTCACAACCTTTTACTGGAGCATTAACTCCATATAAAATAATGGGCTTCATCATGACATTGTCATATATATATATATATTAGGTTTCATTGTGAAATTGTCATCCATTAAAATTACTATACTTAGCTGAGCCACTAGCTAATGTGCCTCCATTCCCTGGATTCACTTCCTATTTGCAAAAACCCCTTCTATTTTCATGCCTTATTGCTTTATTCTGTATGGCAGCAAACATACAAGACTTGTCTTGTAAAGTATTGGCTTGTTTTTTCAAACATGATCTCCAGTTTAACCCACTTTTTTTCAAATGACATAATTCTGTTGTTCTTTATGGATGAACAATATTCCATTATTTGTACATTTTCTATTCATTTATCTACCAAATGTCATCTACACAAGTTCAATAATTTAACTGCTGTGAATAGTGCAGCAACAAATGTGTTATCTCCATCATACGTTGACAATGATTCCCTTGGGTACATAACCAGTGTCTTAGGGTTTCTATTCCTGTGAAGAGACATCATGGCCATGGCAACTCTTATAAAGAAAAACATTTAATTGGGGATGTTTATCATCATGGCAAAAACATGGTGGTGTGCAGGCACACATGGTACTGGAGAAGGAGCTGAGAGTCCTACATCTTGATCTGCAGGTAACAGAAAGTGAACTGAACCAGGCATACCTTGAGCAGAGAAGACCTCAAAGCCCATCCCCACAGTGACACACTTTCTCCAACAAGGCCACTTACATCAACAAGGCTGCACCTCCTAACAGTACCACTCACTAAAAGCTTATGGGGGCCAATTACATTTATACTACCATACCCAGTTTAAACCAGTTAAATCACATGGCTTCACTAGTACACAATCTATCCATGCTATTGAAGTGCTCCGTTTCCTGCACCTTTTCTAACTGTGGTTTCTTTTTTGAGAGTTTCGTAAATGTAATTTGAACATATTCATCGCTACCTCTCCCCAACTTTTCTGATAGGCACCCTTTCCACACCTCACTCCCGTCCCAACAATTCTGAGTTTTTTTCTCTCTACCTTCCCTCCTATCAAGATCTTAGTGATTGCCACTCTAACCAGGTCAATATGAAACACCAAGATACTTTTGTTTGGTTTTTGGTTTTCTAGAGAAAGGGTCTCACATTGGCCTTGAATTTTTGTCAATCTTCCTGTGTCAGATGAGATTACAAATTTGAGCCACCAAAGTCTGATTCTCCTTCTAGTTTTGGTTTGCATTTCTTTGATGACAAGATACTGAACATTTTTTAATGTATTTATTCACATTTGTACTCTTCTTTTGAGACTACAGTCTTCTGTTCATTTGCCCATGTATTGACTGGAGGATTTGTTCTTTTGTTGTTTGATTTTTTTTTATGTTCATTATTTATTTATTTATTTATTTTTATTTTGCAATACAATTCAGTTTTACATATCAGCCATGGATTCCCTTGTTCTCCCCACTCCCGCCCCCCTCACCTTCCCCCCAGCCCGCCCCCCATTCCCATCTCCTCCAGGGCAAAGCCTTCCCCACAGACTGAGATCAACCTGGTAGACTCAGTCCAGGTAGGTCCAGTCCCCTCCTCCCAGGCCGAGCCAAGCGATCCTGCATAGGCCCCAGGTTTCAAACAGCCAACTCATGCAATGAGCACAGGACCCGGTCCCACTGCCTGGATGCCTCCCAAACAGATCAAGCCAATCAACTGTCTCACCACTCAGAGGGCCTGATCCAGTTGGTGACCCCTCAGCCGTTGGTTCATAGTTCATGTGTTTCCATTCGTTTGGCTATTTGTCCCTGTGCTTTATCCAACCTTGGTCTCAACAATTCTCGCTCATATAAACCCTCCTCATTCTCGCTAATTGGACTCCCAGAGATCCACCCAGGGCCTCGTCATGGATCTCTGCATCCAGATCCCTCAGTAGTTGGATGGGGTTTCTAGCACGACCATTAGGGTGTTTGGCCATCCCATCACCAGAGTAGGTCAGTTCGGGCTGTCTCTCGACCATTTCCAGCAGTCTGTTGTGGGGGTATCTTTGTGGACTTCTGTGGGCCTCTCTAGCACTTTGCTTCTTCCTATTTTCATGTGGTCTTCATTTACCATGGTCTCCTATTCCTTGTTCTCCCTCTCTGTTGTTGATACAGCTGGGATCTCCCGCTCCCCCAAGCTCTCTTTCCCTCGACCCTCGCCCTTCACTACCCCCACTCATGTCCAGGCTGTTCATGTAGATCTCATTCCATTTCTCTGTCATTGGGCGATCCCCGTGTCTTTCTTGGGGTCCTGTTTTCCAGGTAGCCTCCCTGGTGATGTGAGTAGCAGTCTAGTCATCCTTGTTCCACATCTAC